TAGTTTTCTCATTTAGTTATATATATACATGTCACATAAATTTGTGTTTCAAAATTTAAAGAATACACATGATAATTTAAAAAAATATGAAATACCAAATCAATAAAAACTGAACTTAAGAGATTAAATTGATAATTAAGATAAACTTGAATGATTAAAAATTTTATTATGTGTTGTTATTTTTTTACATTTTATTACCATATCAACTTCACTTGCTCCTTGTTATATGGATCCACTTAACAAAGTATTCTATTCCATGCACCCTGATAACGTTTTAATTAATAAAAAAACCCTCATTTTAAAATTTCAATAAACAAATTAAATGTAGCATTATTAGTTACATCCAAAGTGCCCCGAGGTAGAAGCACCAACAAAGGATTTGTATAGTTACAACTCGCAACCAAAATTGCCCGTTGCTCTCAATAATAGTGCCCACAGAACTTAATCCTCAACCAAGATACACAATCCTACTTCGGACTTTTGATGCACGTGCGCACATATATATATATATATATATTAATCGGAAATTATTGGTCTTATTACATATTACTATAGTCGATCGTGTTCTTCGAAGTTCAAGCCTCTTGTATTATTTCTACAAGTTATATCACGTACGTCTCTATTGAAACTGTGATTGGGGCCTCCTGGCATGTAGTTTTATATAATATATGATTTTGATGGCTCTGCATGCCATGATGCCATATTATTCTATTCATCTGGTTTTATTCCATTGTCGCTGCGACCTGACCATCCAAAGTTCCATTATTTCCTTTTCAACAGATATTCAACTGCAATTTTAAATTATGATCCCTTAATTAATAATAATATAATTGACCGATGCTTCCTCTTTCATTGTTCATTATTGTTCTGCATCAAGCATAAGAAAGAAATTAAATCTGATTAGCACGAGTCCAGAAATTAAAAAATACACTTTATTACTTAAAAAGCGTTAAACAAACTGAAACAATTGAGACATAGTTCAATGAACTATTTTCCTTGACGTACATATTATGTACGTGTTATTCACCATTAATTAACTGCAATGCTCCTAACTACATGTACAGTCGTATTCTCTCCCAGCCTGAAGCTTCATACCCTGATAATTAAACCAAAGAAAAATTCAGTAAAGTAAATAATTAATAAAATGCAATAATGTAATGATCATCGATTCATTGAAATAGAAGAGAGAGTTAATTATATAATTACTCGGTGTAGTCGATGTTGATTTTTCCTTCGTTAGGGTCAGCAATGAGGAGAAAGCTTCTTGGGAGAGATCGATGGTTCCTCTGCATGCCGGAGGAGGGCAGCGATCGACAATCGTGACGGTGACAGTTCCACTCCGGCAAGGCTGAGCCACCCCTTGGTTGGTCCCACCAGTGCACCTGACTGTGTATCTTCTTCCACATGCAGCTCCGTTGTTCCAGAGCGAGTCGCTCGCTGCTGCGATCATAGTTCCCTCGTTTTGGAATCCATAGCATGCAGATGCTGCAATAATTAAACCAACCACATCATATTTCAACATGATTAATTAGCAAGTTTAAGGCTGAAGACATTCTACGCAGAAGGTAACAATTAATGTGATTAATAGACTGTGGGATACTCACGAACGTATACAGTGTAAAAGGTGGCAGTTCCAGAAATAGCAGATGCCACTGAAACAAGGCTCATCAGAATGGCAAGCCCCATTACTAGCACTGCTTTCATTTTGAGAGCAATTTCACTTAATTGTTCTCCCCACTTGAATGTGTTTCATGAGAGATTAGTTCTCCTTTTATAGCAAAATCATTGCACATAAATTGTATATTTATTTATTGTCCCCACGAGAGACGGCCGGACTCTATATATTGACAAACTAGAAGTCCCTTGTTATTGAATGATACAATTAAATATTTTACAGTCATACATTTGAAAATAAAGTGACATAGATAATTGAAATAATATGACAAGTTTATTTTCACTTAAAAAAAATGGGCCCAGCATTAATTGGGTTTGCTCTTGTGGCCTTATAACCAGGACTCACCGGCCCACCTTGCATGAGAGACTAAAATAAGTTAAAATTAAAAAGTGGTAGCAGTTTGATTATCAATTTGTGTACATTGACAAAAGAAAATGTGTACATTGAGTAAATCTAGCAAGACAAAAAAAAAAAAAAATCTATCATTTGCTCTTAATATCGAGATGATTCCTAGTGTTTGTTGTTGGCCGAAAATGCTTAAGGCGGTATCTCACCCAAAAAAAAAAAAATCACTTTATAATTTGAATAAAAAATAAACTTAGCTTTGTTAGTTACCACCGAAGTACCCTGAGACGATGATGCTCCAATGCAGTTTTGTTAATTAGCCTTTGCTCTCAGTCTTGAGTCACAAGAACTCCAATGTAAGATTGTTAATTAGTTACAACCAAAGCCAACTGAGAACTTAAGTTAATACTGAGATACACAATTCAACTCAGGACTCTTGATTCATCTGCTCATATATGTACGTATTAGCTGGCATGCAACAGAAGTTGTTGGTCGTTTGTTAATACTATAATCGAACATGTTCCATAGAAGTTCAACCCACTTGTATAAAGCCAATTAAGTTGAGTTGGGTCAGGGCTTCTATATTCACAATTTGAGTACAAACAATTATAAACCAAACTAGCTATTGAACTAGTTAAGATGCTGATTCATGGTTCAATTGTCAGACCATGATGTGAACTATAATCTAACTGATTATGAATATTGATATATTTTAAATGTTACATGTTTAAAGTAGAAAAACATAATCATACATAGTAACAAAAATGAACGATTAAATTTCAAACAAAATAATATATAAAAATAATAATACCTTTAGAAAATGTAACTTTGAATCTTTACACTTAATCGAGTTTTGTTATAGGTTCCTACATATTTTTTCTCATGTTCTAAATCCCTTCATAAGTAGTGGTATCAGGACCTAGGTCATCGAAAAATAAAAATGTAGGGACCAGAAACATCAAAAAAAAGTGCAGAGATCTGTAGCAAAACTCGAGCAACTTGTAGAGACTCAAAGTTATGTTTTCTCAATTTAAAGAAAATACATAATTCATACATAGTTATTTCATTTTTTTTTCATTCCATAATGCTTGTTAGATATAAATATATATAAATTATGATTTAGCAATAAATTAAAATAATAAAATAATAACATGTTTGATTCAACCAATTTCTTGCTGATTTTAGCTGATTCAATTAGTTCTTGGCTGATTCTTAAATTTTTCAATTTTCTGTGGTAACCAAACCAAACTTGGGATAGGTTTAACTAGTTGAATTGACCAGTTTGATCCAATTATAATAACACTAGTTGTAATTATGCATTTGTACATATAATTAATTTCTTCATAGAAAATGCCGTAGAACATAATCATCCCATCCTTATTATAATAAAATTGATGTTTTAAATATTTTCAAGTTGAATAAGAAAAACTATTACATGAATTTACTTATTCAGAAACATCCAAATATTTCAATTATATCCCTATATACATTTTTTTAATCTTAGCTTGGTTCAAGTCAAGAGACTAGAGAGTACTAACAGTGGAGTTGTCGGAATAAAAAAAATCATTTGATATTTTAATACAACACCTTATAAATTTAATATTATCTGATAGTTAAGTTTACATCTATAAAAATAATTTGAGTCTTAATTCATTAATAATATTTTATTTTTGTTGAAAGCTTTCTACTTTTACGTAATTTTTATCAAATAAAATAAAAATATATTAAATTAATTATAACTAGTTCAACTACTGTTTAACCATATAGTTGAACCATTGACCCTTGACTTGGTGTCTTGCCCAATTTAATGCCCTGTTTGATTTTTAACTTTTCAAAAAATATAACTAATTGATTATTTCATTTTTTTAAAATTTTGCAAGAGATAAAAATTATTTTTTAATCTTAAAGACATATTTCACAACGATAAATGAATTATTAGATTATGTTAAGGATAAATTTGAACATGTAAAGTAAGATAATAGAAAAGTTCCTTTTTCTAGTTGCGAGGAGAACTGGGCCTTCAACTTTGCGAGAATTTTTTTTTTTTTGTGAACTAACAAATTAAAATTGATTCACGTGCATCAATTTCGAAATCCAACTAGTTTCTATGATTTGAAGTACTCTTTCACGTATTCATCGAAAGAGGCCATTTTTGCTTTGAACTTTTGTTTTCCCCTCCATTTGAATTGGAAGAAAATCTCATACCCTTGTGATACGTATTGGCATGCTACTTCTCTACGCTATGAATTGAAAAGGTATCATTAGTAATATTATCTTGATAAGGATCATTAGTAATATTATCAATTATATATATATATATATATAAAAGTAATATTATTAATTAATTATTAATTATTGAGAGAATCTAATACATATAATATACCTATACTTGGCGTTTGTCCATGTTGTGTAAGAATACAATTGCGCCCTTACATTCATGTGATGGTACTAGATCCTTTAACATCATGTAGAAAATAAGCTTGATCCTTTAACATAATGTATAAATTCTCTGAAATTGATATCCATAAATTGTTATGAAGTTTTTATTTTTTTCCCCTTATTTTATTATTTCTTATATAAAATATAAAATCTATTATCTGTTTCTTAAAATGATAAATTTCAGAAAATTCATGTGATGCTTGACGAACGCCAAGACACGTGTTTGGCTTGTTATGAGTGATTATCACGAAAAACAAATTAAAATATACTAAAATATTTGATAAATTCTCTCCTTGCATATATTGGCAAAACATTTTGGATTGTATAATCTAAAAATGAAAAAAAAGGGTACACCGTTTGGGAATTTAAGTTAAAGAGAACAAGCACTTTCAATTCGGTGTTATTATAATTAATTAAGTACCTGCTCCCTTTTCGTTGTTATATCCCGAATCACTCAAAAGAACGAAACGGTTACGAATATGATAAAACAAAAAAAACTATAAATAATAAAAATAAAAATAATTTTCGGGACAAAGAAAAATAATATAACAACAATAGTTTTATTAAAATGTTAAGGGCTACAGTCCATACATTGTCCATGGAAAATGATACTGTGTTATTTTCCATGAAGCACGTACATGTAACTAATGTACGTGTTATTAATTATTCTTATATGTATTATCATTTTTCTTGAGTATTCTCTTCCAGAAGCATTAGACCCTGAAAACACACCACAACAGAAAAGTCAGCACTAATAAAATGAACTTGAAATTAAATGTAACAGTACTGTAAAGGAAACAGAACAGGAAATATAGATACTTACTGGACATAGTCGATGTTGACTTTTCCGGCGTCAGGGTTAGCAATGACAGAGAAAGCTTCCTGAGAGAGATCGATGGTGGCTTGGCATCCCGGAGAAGGGCAGCGATCGACGATCTTGACGGTGACGCTTCCGCCTTTGCACGGCTGAGGCACACTGTTGGTGCCGCTGGTGCATGTGATCCTGTACATTTTGCCACATGCAGCTCCGTTGTTCCAGATTGAGTCGCTTGCTGCTGCTATCATAGTTCCTTGATCTTGATATCCATAGCATGCCGATGCTGCAGCCAATCAACCATTCACACGCCACCAATTAATGTCTCTCCCAGTGGCGGAAACAAGACAGGACTAACACCACGACTCCACGGATGTTCAATTTTTTCTTTGTATTATATACATGTGTTATATATTTAATTTCTGTCCAGCAAAGATCATGAAAACGTTGTATTATAATCGGTTTGATAACGCGGTTTGAACCATTAATCATTGAACCAGTACCATTAGATCTGTAGATTTTGAGTGCCTTAGTGTGTAGGGAAAAGTTATAGTACAAGTATTATTTTTTAAGGAAGCATGAAATACACACACATATAGGTGATCAGGATAAATATTAGTTAATTTAATTAAGTGGTGAGACTGAATGGAACCAATATATTAGAATAATAAGTACATGAATAAGTAGAGAGATGAATACTCACGAACATATACAGTGTAAAAGGTGGCGGTTCCAGCTGTAGCAGAAGCCACTGAGACAAAGCTCAAGATGGCTAGCCCCATTACTAACACTGCGTTCATTTTGAGAGCCATATCTTGTCGACCACGAAACTTATAATTTGGAAGTGAGAATTAAATGTTGTGTTCGTCGAAGTAAGGGGCATATATTGGTCCTTTTATAGCAAAATCTTATAGCCCATAAACATAAATTGTATTAATTTTTCCCCCAATAGGTGACGGTCTTCACACGTTTCTCCGGCCCGGCGGCTAGACTTGTGTGTGTGTGTGTCTAGAACCAGGACCATACCTTTGAATTTTTTTTTTTTTTCCCTCGTTGAAAATCTGGCATTTCGCTGTTAGCATTCGGTATGTTTCCACAAGTTACTGAAGAACTTTGATGCATTAACTGATAACCTTAAATACGTCGTCTGATGCTCAGAGCAGAGATCATTGAATGTATAATGCATACAATGACAAAAATTTCGACTGAAGTTTCTACATACTGACGCAATATATGGTATTTACAGCGTGGTGGGCAACATGTGTATGTACTATAACAATTAGTTCAAATTGTGAGAATTTGACAAAAAAAAAATTGGTTAAAGTATTGATAAGATATAAATATGCAAATTGAATTTTCTATATATTCATGTATTCATATAGTTGTGGGGAAAAAATCACATCAAACAATTTCATTGCCTCATATCTCATTTCTATTTATCTATTACCCTCTCTCTCTCTCTCTCTAAATCTCTTACAGATATGAGATAGATGACTTATACATTATCAACAATAGTTGGTTCAAATTGTTTGAGCCGTTTGGTTTTTTTCATAAGATTAATTAGCATCTAATAATGGCATAGGTTTAATTAAAAAGAAAGAAAAGATTATTTACTATATATTTATTTCAAAACATATAATGGAAGCATTTAATTGATTTTTTCCATACATAGCAATAGGGAAGGGATTATAATTTAGGGATATGCACAATGTGACTCAGTCAAAGTGACTAAAATGTGTACGCACTTAGCTTATGACTGTTCACCACCGAAAAGTCTAATATACGCTAAAAGAAATTCGTTCATTATATTGCTTGATTCTTGAAGTCCCCCTTTGGGGAAGGGACGTTGAATTTTTTTGTGTCGTCATGATACATCATACATCATTTCAGTTGAGCATTTAAAATTGGAAACGTATATGTATACTCTGGGGTTCTTCCGCAGGCGCCTGCCGTGATTTACGCATTTATTCACGCAATAAAAGTCCAAACCTTTGAAGCAAAATCTATGGAAATTCATTTAATAAGGTTTCATAAAAAATGGATAATTAATTTAAAAATAAATATTGTAGGAAATTTCCCGTTAGACAAAGGACGAAATGATATTATCTCTGTGTGTAGGAAATTTCCCGTTAGACAAAGGACGAGTGTGTGTGTGTGTAGGAAATTTCCCGTTAGACAAAGGACGAAATATCGACAAAGGACGAAATGATATTATCACTGTGTGTGTGTGTGTGTGTGTGTGTGTGTGTGTGTGTGTGTAGAGGATATCATCAATACACACACACACACAAATATTGTAGTTTTAATTTGATTGGTTAAAAAAAAAAACTCTCATTGGTTAATAAATTTAAGGCTAATGTTAATATTAAAATTTCTTTTAATTCATTAATAAGATTGAATTTATTTTTCATGTATTTTTAATTTACTTTCACAAGAACATTTGATGAGATTTAATTTATTTTTTTATTTTTTTATGTATTTTTAGTTTACTTTTAGTCCCATTTTTAAATTTCACTGATCGTTAGCATTAATTCTATCCACTATCCTTCTGTAATCGATGTACTTTCTCATATCTTTTTAATTTTTCTAATCAATAGGATTTAATTTTTTTAATTTTCATTTATTTTCTTGATTTGCTGTATTCAACATCAATTAACTTTTATCAACTATCATCCATAAACATTATTTATAAAAATGAGAAAAGGAAATAAAAAGAAGTTTAAGTTTGATTTAGATCATCAGTCTTTGTCTCATAATCTTAGCCCTTCAAACTATGGACAAGATAACATGGCACTGCTTAAGTATTTTAAATAGGCAAAACTTGAGTAATAGATGTTTCTTTTTAGTAGCCCTTTTTCACAAAAAAGAAGAAGAAGAAGAATGGGAACCAAAAAATACAAAAGAATATAATACAGTTAAAAAAAAAAAGTGGGATCCCTTTGGGTAGTTTCTTATATCCATATTTATAGAAATACAATTTATGTCATAATTTATGAACTAATGCCTAATTTTTTTATGTAACCGAAAATGAGGGGTTATTAAAAATTCTAAATTTTTTTTGGGCCAATATTCTCTAAGCACTCTAAGAATAGGTATTTTTTAGATAGGATTTTCACTATAGGCTCAAAAAATAAAGATAAGATATGTGCAAATAAAGTATCCAAGAAAAAAAATGATTGAATAGAGGAGCTCTTAAAAATTTCCCCATCTCAGATTAGTCGATATCAATAATATTGATGATATTTATTTTAAATTCATTAATTTCAAACTGTGCAACGCACGGAAAATTGTTTAGTTATATTTCATAGGGAGTATTATTTTTACAATACATTTAAATATTACAAGTTATATCAATAATTTAACAAAGAAAAATGACAATTATTTAAATATAAGTTGTCAATGAACTTTATAATTTATATTTAAATGTATTATGCATACCTGTGTGTAATTTTTCCATATTTCTATTTGTAGTGTAGAAGTGTTTTAGGGAAAGAGGGTGAACTTTGGCTAGCTAAATTATTTAATGAGTTTTTTTTTCATACAACTATCTAATGAGATTTTAAAGTCTACGAAAAGGTAAAATGAAACAAGGAAAAACAAAGGCGTAGGTGAGAATGGGTTGACAAGATGGTTTGAGTCTAGTGAAGATAGTGATCTTCTTATCCTATTCAATGTCTATAAAAATCATAAGATGTTACCGCTGTTAAAACTCAACATTTATTGTTAAGAATAAGGAGCGATCATTGAAAACAACAGAGAATAAACTAGCTATTCTTCTTGAAGTGATTGCTTTCAAAAAGAATAACTATATATTATTGCATAAATTTAATTTATCTACAACATATTATATTTTTGCTCTATAGCAATAAAAGAAATTGCTGCCGTGTACAATCCCACTAGAATATTTTGGTAATCTTTTTCCTTGTGAAAATGCATGCATGTGATGTGAATGATATATCATAACAATTGTCGAGCATCATTAGAGATAACTTTTCCAATAATATTTTTTATATTCTGACATATTCAAACTTAAAATTTTGAACTTAAAATTTTGAATTTTAATAAATTATAGACCATTTTACTGGAATGAACATATGTTAAATATGTCCTCCCACTAGAACTTCAATACAAGTACAACCCAGCAAACCATTGTCTGGTTAAATTAATATTTTTAAATTAAAAGATAATGGGTCAAGTTAGACCCTTGAGTTGGGTCGAGCATCTGGTCGACTCTTCTAGTAGATTGAGTTTGACTTGCCCAACCCTGTACACTTTTAGAAAGGATAAAATTAAAATTAAAAATCATCTTATAATTTTTTAAAAAATATTTTTAAACACCTTTTACAAATAAAAAATAGTAATAGGATTAAGACTATTCCTATGAGATCAATATTTACTATATTTCAGAAGGAAAAAAAAGAGTGTATTTGTCGAATCAATAATAGAAATGCAATGAAAAACATGTATTTTTTAAATTCAAAATTAAGATCTTAAACAGGATAATTTCTCCTAGAAAAATTAGTTGCTAGCTAAATCCAGAACGTTTGTGTTTGTTTTTGGTCTGAGAAAGTCAAAAGTCAATAATGCACGAACAGATAAGAACGGACCCTTACGAGAACCAAGTCCTATGCATATATAGCCACCGTTGCGCCCCCAGAAAAAACCCGAAGCATTAATAAAATCATTTCCAGCCCAAGAATAGGTTCCGGTTATTCTTTACATTATATTATATAATACTATATTTTATATATTAATGAGGGTTGGATTTAATAGGAGTAACTAATCCCTTAAAATATGATGAATTAATATTTGAATTTTCATTGAAAAAAGTATTCATGTTTAGTGCTCGATCGTATTTTAAATATGATTTCTTTCAATAGAAGTATACCTATGGATAACAAAAAAAATTATATTATGTATATAACTAATTTAATTAGCTATTGTTTGGGTTAATATGAAATGTAACTCAAATAAGTCACAGAGCTAGTTGGGCTAAGTAATTGAAGTGTCAGGCTCAATATAAATGAAAGGGGCCGGCCCTGAGGCTCAACAAAGTCCCAATAACTAAACATGCTGAAATCTCGTCAGCTGCAAATATTAGACTATTGGCACAAAGATACGATTTTAAGTAATGCTGAAATCTACGCCCAAATATCTCAAGGAAACGAGTTGGTTACCAAAATGAAGAGCATGGAATAAAGACTGTGCCATGAGTTTCACGAGATCCCTAATTTGTTAGCAAAACGTGCTAGGTTTCAAGGAAGAGACTATTATAATGGGCGTCCTAAATTAGGACTTAATCATCATACTAACCATCACACTAACCATGGTTAATCAAGGACTAACCGAAATGAATTATCCAATACGAGATTAACCCAAATGAATTCTTAACATGTATTTTTTTTTCAAACTATTTAATATAAAGGGATCTCAAGTCTTTAAAATATTTTAAGAATTCATATCATTTAAGTAAACATATGTGGAAGCATGATAATAACTATTTTTACTTGCACAAATATTTTGGCCCATAATTATAGCACAAGCATCAAACCACATTCCCCAGGGCCCAAAATACATTTTCCCCAACACAAAACCCATAATGCAAGTGGATCAAGAATAGATTATCCTAATTGGCAATATCATAACTAAACACACATATCAAATAAAAGGAGAGAGGCCTACAGAAGTGATTATTATCACTTGGCCTAATGTTCCTTTCCTATGTTCTTCTTAGATGAGCTAGTCCCTGTAATATGTTAAAAGAGACAGGTGAGTACAACCACTCAGTAACTAAGGTATATCTAAGTTATACAAATGCATGATAATTAATCATGAATGCAAGTGGCCAATAAATTTATCAAGGTGACCATTCA